CTGCGCAAACCCTTCCATAATCGAGAACAATTTTTGCCACGCGACGAAGTAGGTATCGGCTCTAAACATCTATATTTGGCCCTCATAACCTTTACCCACAGCTTTTCCGTGTGAACTACAAGTTGGAATCCGATTTTCATGATGAATGCCTTATTATAGTGCTCCATAATCTGCAAACCCAAGCCCCCCCTGATGAAGAGGTTTATGCACGGTGTTCCAATTAACAATGTTGATTCTCCTGTTTCCGTAAGAATAACCCCACACAAATCCCCGAATCAATTTCTCAATTTCATCACATACACTCTTGGGAATCCATGACGTTTTCACAGCATAAGAAGGGATAATGTTCTCGACCAGCAAGTGATAATGTTCTCGCTGCTCAACTCGACAATCTTTCTTTAATTTTATCAATCAAGAGTATGTCGTTTTAGGGACTCGTTGGTGCAGCAGCGGCACTCCAATGTATTTACCCAAATCGATAACTTTCATATAGTCAAGGTCGCCCGCTATGTCAGCCCGGAGCTCTCTTGTGATGTTACTTGAGAAAAAAATGTGTTTTCATAGCACTTACCCGATGACCCAAGCTTATACAAAATATTTCTAAGGTCTCTTTCATAACATTCATGTGATCAGATAAAACTTCACCACATAAGATTAAACCATCCACAAAAAATAAATGTGAGATGGGGGCTCCGCAAGATAACTGAATTGGTTTCCAACACTTAGCATCAATACCTCTCACTATCACTTGAGAGAGCCTCTGCATACACAACACAAAAAGATAGATATGGCGATAGGGGGTCGCCTTGCCGAATTCCTCTTGTTGACTTGAATTCTTCGATCTTTACCCCATTCCAAAGGACTCGAGTGGTCACTGAACATACACACAACATAATCAAATCAATTAGTTTAGGTGATGCATCTTCTTGGAAATAATTTCGTTAGGTTTTAACTGATGTAATTATATCTTCGAAGTCATTTAATTATCAATCCAATTTTTTGATCAATGTTGATAGTTATGTATTAAGGTTGCAGTCCATCATGCTAATATGATAATCGAGGTATGAACGATGACATAATAAAGGGATTAAATTGATTTTTTTAATCTGACTTAGAAGATTTTTTTTGTTCGAGTTCAAAGGCATAATTAATTTTAATTAAAAGTTCGAGTACTTATTTAATCTTTAAGCAAAAATAAGAAATCGTTAAAATTTTCAAATATTAATTTTTTAAAAAATATTCATAAAAATTATTTAAAAAATAAAAAAACATTTAAATTTTTTAAAAAGTAAGTGAAAATTTAAAATATATAAAAAATTATAATATAAAAGATAAATTTTATAAAATATTTATAAAGTATTATAAATTTTAAGCACTTTTATTAGAAAAGTCTTTAATTTTATCTCGTTAGCATTACTAGTACTCCTTAAACACATTTTTAATGCAAATAACTTTATATAAAAGTAACAATAAAATCCAAAATATTCTCATTACTATATGATGTACTTGAGCTAACGAGAGAAAGATTTATGTGTTTGTATTATATTTGGTTTAAAACAGTATTACATTTTATACAATTTTTTTTGGATAAGTTGAATTTTATTATCCAAATGAGCAAAGTTTGCTACAACAAACATCCCAAAAGGGAGTATAAACAGTTACTTACAACAAAAAATGGTTAGTCTATACCCCAATAGAAGCATAGATTAAAGTTAACATTATCTATTCTCTTAATGTTTTTGCCTCTAAGTTGAATTCGGACAAGCTCCTTGATGGTTGACAGAATTTGTTCAACTTTTCTAGGTCCTCGTTGAAAGATTCTTCTATTTCTCTCCTCCTAAATCGAGTAGATGAACGAAGTCCAAGCTATCTTCAATAAGGTATAAAGAAGAGATTTGACCTTCCAATCATCACAAGCCCAATCTATCATTGCTTCCCAAGACATGTAGGGTTTACGCAAGTGGGAAAGATTTAAGATAGATTTCCATAGAGATTTAGCAAAATTGCAGTCACCAAACAAATGATTCCTTGTTTCGAGAGCCTCGTTGCATAAGACGCAAAGACCATCCATGACAATTCCCATCCGAGACAGTCTCTCCCGAGTTGGGAGTCTGTCCAAGATAGACATCCAAGCTATCATATTGAACTTAGGAATATGGGAAGGGAACCATATCACTTTATGCCAAGAAACCTTGTTTCTTTGTTCTCTGACTGCTTCCCAAATATCTTTAGTAGTCTTAGTTCCTGCATTAAGAATGGAAAGAGCTGTAGTTCTAAGTTTCAATAGTTTCTTGATGTTCTAGCTATGAGCAGTACTTTCTGCCATGTCCCTGAAGTCATTGTTCTTAATCACATAGCATTTTAACCAAGCAATCATAGTGATCATTCTCCTGCAAGAATGTTTCGAATAAACTGAATCATAAATGCAGTGTTCCAAGATTTAATGTTCTTCAAACCTAGGCCTCCTTCAGATTTGGGGCAGGAGATTTTTTCCCAGCTGACCCTAGCTCCAGTTGTTGCCTGATAAGTTCCTTTCCATAGGAAGCGAGAGCATAGTTGGTCAATTAGGTTGATAATAGTTTGAGGAAGAATGAATTGTCTGCACCAGTAGTTAGCCACACTAAAGAGAACTGTTTTGACAAGCTCAAGTCTCCCAGCATAGCTTAAGAGCTTACCAGACCAATGGTGGAGCTTTAGCTTAATTTTGTCAATAAGAGGCTGACAATCATGTTTAGTAAGCTTTTTAGTGACTAAAGGAACCCCCAAGTACCTTACAGATAGGAATCCTTACTTAAAACCAATAGTGCATTTGATAGTTTCCAGATTTCTAGAGGAAATTCCAGCAACATACAGTTTTGTCTTGCTAACATTAAACTTAAGACCAGACAAATCATAGAAATGATAAAGGACAGAAATGATTCCAGCTATAGATTCAAGATTTCCTTTGCAAAAAATTAAAAGATCATCTGCAAATGATAGATGAGTGAGGCCAATCTTTTTGCATTTTGGGTGATACCCAAAGATCCCTTTGGCAGCAACAATATTAAGAATTTTAGAAAGGATGTTCATAGCAAGCACAAATAAAATAGGGGATAAAGGGTCACCTTGTCTAATCCCCCTCTGGCCTTTGAAATATCCTACCAAGCTTCCAATGAATGAAATAAAATATCTAGCTTCTTTAAAGCAAGCCTCTATCCACCTTATGAAGGTACTTGGCAGCCCAATGGCTTTGAGGATAGCATAAATGAAGACCCAGTTGAGAGAATCAAAAGCTTTTTGGAGGTCAATTTTGAGAGCACACCTTGGAGAGATATGCTTCCTTCCATATCCTTTCACTAATTCTTGACCAAGGAGTGTATTATCAATTATTGTTTTTCATATATTTAAAATGTTATGATAACACTCTTTTTTTGTCAATATTCCTTTCTTCATATATTTATTATTTTTTTCATATATTTTTTTGTTTTTTCATTATTGATGATGTTATTTTTTTAGTCAACATTCCTTTCTTCATGTGAAAATAGTCAATATTATTTTCCTTGCATATTCTTATAAGTACTTTCTTGTATTTTTTTTTTCAGGTTTAAATTTGACATGTATATCCAAATGACGTTTATTTGATTATCTTGTTCATTTATTCTCGTTTTTGACCATCCAATCAAATATTGATAGACATTTATAATCATCAAAGATAGGTCGCAATTGAATTACAATAATATTATTTTATCAACGATTCATTATTGTTATACATTTTTGTGTTAGCATTACTAGTGTTTATCATTCACAATTAAAAATAATGTTTGTTTGTATTTATCATTATTTTGAGTTATTCGATTATATTTTTATTTTTTTATAATCTTTTTCTATGTTTTGACTAATTTGTATATTTCGATGGATTAAAAAAATGTATATTTTATGTTATATGTTTACTCAAATCTTTTTTATAAGTTTTTATTTATAATTTTAGAGTATTTATTCTTTATTTAATAAAATTATTTATTGTTACTATTTTTTAAAGAATGTTATGAATTCTATATGTTTTTTAGATATAATGATAAAATTACTTTCAACGTTAGTAAAATCGGTCATTTTTGTTCTCTCTCTTTTTTTTAAACATTTTAATTTTTAATGTTTTAATATTTTTGTCAAAATATACTTTATTAAACGAAAACCATTAATTGACTAACGAATAACATATGTTATTGATATGATATTTTCACATGTATTCAATTGATATGACATATGTCATATTATCACTTTGGAGACACGTCATATGCTACATCATTACTTTAGTCATGTGTCACATGTCACATTATTATTTTAGTGACGTGTCACATACTACATCATTAATTAAATACACGTAAAAATATCACATCAATAACATGTATTTATAGTTCATTTTCATTTAATATGATTTGTTTTGATAAAAATAAAATATTAAAAACTAAAACGTTTCTTAAAAATAAAAAATAAAATAACTATTTATGTAAGAGTAATTTTACTTTTATATATATACAAACAGGTGTCCTAACACATTGGTTGTTTAATATTGACACCTAGTTGGGAGTGATCTCTTTGGGCCTAACACATAGCTAGGCCTGCATGCCCCCGGTTCTAACGGAGCTGCAGAATATAATTCTTCCACCTCACAAGTCAACAATCAGCACGAATAATAAAGGCATCTCCCAACAGTTTTACACTGTTTAGCCATTATTCTCGTTCGTGTGCCTTCCTCTTCAGATTTACCCTTTCTCTGTACAACAACCAACAGTACTACTCCTGCCCTGCACCTCTCCACTCCACCTACTAACACTTCAGGTAAATTTGACAACATCATGTCTCTTGTCCGTGAAGTACGTATCGAATATGAATATGGAGATTGTTAGATATCTACTCAAATTATAACTATACTCGTTTTAAAAAATAATATCTCTATCCTTCCAGTCCCTGACAGCTAGTGGGTTGCAGAGATTGCAGAGGGTAACAGTAGATATACCTTATTAAGAGGAGCCAGTAACCCCAGAATCAAAATCCTTCCCTTTTCCTATATAAATACCACCACCAAGTTCATCCCTTTTATATTTTTTACTGCTTCTATTTCTAGTAGTATAGTTGCAGTGGTGCTGCCAGTGTCATAAACACCAACAGTAGGCACATCTGAAGCTTAGTCGATCACATGGCAGGCAAAGAAAAGGACACAAGAATCATTTGGTTAAGAAGCAGCGAGCCAAATTCTACATCCTCCGACGTTGCATTGCGATGCTCGTTTGCGGGCGTGACCGAGGCGAGCCTTAGGGGAAAAGGCCAGCTTATTTGGTTTCATGGCTTTGTATAGTAGTTTAAAGGAAGTACTTTTGATTTCATATATAATACTATTAGAGTATTAAGTATAAGAAAATTTATTTAGTGCTGCAAATAAAATTATGGATCTCTGTTTAGATTTTCTTCTTTTTTTTCTGTCAAATGGATTGATGGGACGGAAGGGAAATCTGGGTTGTCATCTTTTTCTCTCAACTGTTCATTTCTCATTGCTGGAGAGGGGGGGGGGGAAACCATGAAAATTCCTCTCTTTTTTTAATTGTTTTTTCTTCATTTTTTTTAGTTTTTTAGCTACCTGCTGGTTAACAATTGAAACTGCAAATTCTTCTTGTTCTTCTTCTTTTCCAGATCTTCACATGGAATCATCATTGGTTAAAGAGTAGCATCTACTTTCCCCAGATTTCTGTATTATTTCCTTTTCACTGTCAAACTTATGAATCATTGAACTGTTAACAGCTAATCGTACTTTTGTTTTAAAAAACCCTACTTGAATATTCAATAAAAAATAATATTAAATTATATTTTTTTTCAAATATATTAACTTTTTTAAAGAAAAAACATATACCAAATCCCTTTTGTTTTGGAAAAAATGTAAATCAAGTATTAGAGAAGAAAAATATAATTGTTGAGAGTGCTTCTTTCAAGTAAGGTAGGTTAAGAGAAATAGGGAGAAAGTAGTGATGGAAATGGTTCTCAATCCCATACATTTATATTTATATTATTGCACGAACCAAACGATCTTGGTAATAAAGAAATTATTGTTATATCTTGAAGTCTTAGATTCGAGCAGTATGAATGTCAGAAGTGTGAGCGTTTAATATTTAATGTTTATTAAAGATTTGTCTTTGAAACTTTGATGGTTTATTTGGCTATTGCTATGCGGTGAGCTTTGAAGTATGATTAATTATGGTGTATTGTGTTGTGTTGGAACTTTATAATAATACTACAATAGAATGTAGTATGTAGTATGTAGATATATTAATTACCATGAAGTGTCATATTTTTAAGCTAAGTATGTAGATGTAATAGTTACTATGTTTTTTAATAAATGTAGTAATTGCTATAAAGTATCATTATAAGTGGTAAAAGAGAAGCTTATTATTTTTAGATGTCTTGAGTTCAAGCAGTCGCGTCTGCAGTGTGTATTGTCAATAAGTTAAGAAAATCTTAAACAGATGTGATTCCAGGAGGCAAGTTTTGCCATCTTATCTGCAATCTTGTTCCCATTCCTGCATATCCATTGGACCTTTGTTATCCAGCATCCATACCTTCGTTGCTTTAGGATTGCGCGCACTAGAGGAATATGATTGTCAATGGTAGCACTATCTTCGATCAGCTTGACTACTTTGCTACAGTCGGATTGTATCAATAATTTGAAAACCCCAAAGCTCCTTGCAATGAGTAAACCTTCATAGATGCTCCAGAGTTCTGCATGGAGGGCCGATATTGTCCCTATATTCTTTGTAAAACCTGTAATCCAGTCACCAGTAGAGTTACGAAACACACCACCAATCGAACCTCGCCCATCAAGTGTCGCAACTGCACCATCCGTGTTTAAACACGTCCATCCTCAGGGTGGCAAAGACCATGTTGAAGCAGCCCCATGTTGTCTCGGGCGTGCAGAAGGATTTCTGATATTGGTTTCATAGCATTTGGCCCAACTATAACTACTATGAATGATCGAGTCTGTTTTATAAGTGATACCCTTAAAAACATAATCGTTCATTTGTTTCCAAATTAGCCAAATGAGAGCAGTAAAAAGAGAGGACCAAGAGGGATCACTATCGCATAAGGGACGATGCACGTGTATGTTTTGCGTAATCCATGAATGAAGGTCAGTCCCGAAAAAGCTTGAGCAGGCGGATTGGGGCACAATGTGCAACCACATGTGTCGGCTTGGTGGGCAGTCACGTAGCACATGAATTACAGTTTCAGTTGCTGCACCACAAGTCGGACATGAATAGTTATTTGTGAGCAGTCGTCTTCCTCGCTCATAATCCGTCATGATTTTTTCTTTATAAGCGAGCCATGTAAACATCCGAACTCGTTGAGGAGCAGTGATTGACCAAATTACCTTCGAAATAGAGCTTTTTTCATTCCAGTTACCTTCCATGAGAAAAGTATAAGCTGACTTAATTGTAAAGCTAAGTTCAGGAGTCCATCTCCATATCAGTGTATCGGGTTTATCGTTTCTATCTGGGGGTAGAACACTAATGACATGAGGTATGGCAGCTGGAATAAGAACTTGAGATAGAGCTTCAATGTCCCAATGGCCATGAACATCAACGAAGTTGTGAATTTTCTGGGTTAAATCAGCATGTATATCATCTCGGGCATAGTCTCGTAAAGGCCCCAAGCTCGGCACCCAATTATCATTCCAGAAAGTTATAGAGTTCCCATTACCCACTGACCAAACCAAACATGAGAGCAATTGTCTCCATATTTTTGATATTCCTCTCCATAATAGAGAACAATTGTACTTTTCAACCAATATAGGGTGAGCCTCCTGGATTTTATATTTTTGTCTGAGTAGTTGGACCCAGTAAGAGTTTGTCTTCACCATAAGGGAATAGCCAAGCTTCATCATGAAAGCTTTGTTTTGCTCAAGAGGTCGAATAAACCCCAAACCTCTTCGATCAATTAGATTACAAATGGTAGTCCAGTTAACTAGAGAGATTTTCCTGCCAGATAGTTCCTACCCCTAAATAAAACATCTTACCGTAATTTCTATCTCATTATAGACTCGTTTAGGGAATGACATGACTTGCATAAAATAATTCAGAATAGCTGAAAGGACTGATTTTGTCAGAGTAATACGCCCTGCAAGCGAAAGGGATCGAGCAGCCCATCCATTTAGTTTACTCCTGAACTTATCAAAGATAAAATCAAAATCAGCAATTTTCATACGTCTATGGAGGACCGGAAGTCCAAGATACTTCCCCATAGATTCAACTTCTTGGAAACCAAGACATGATAGAATAAAAGATTTCGTGGATATGGTGGTATTAGGCGAGAAGTATATATGCGCCTTCCGTTTACTAACTTTGTGCCCCGAGAAATACCCAAATTCCTTGAGGGTTTTCTCAATGATTTCCGCATGGTGTAGGTCAGCCTTTGCATATAACATAAGATCATCAACAAAAAATAAATGATTGATGGAGAGACCCTGCCGGGAAAAAGAATAACCCTTCCAATCACCTTCTTCAACACATTTACGGATGCTATGGCCAAGGCGTTCCATTGCTAGAACAAAGAGGTATGTAGAAAGTGGGTCACCTTATCGGATACCTCGTTCTGGTTGGAACGCAGAAGAATTCTCACCATTCCATTGGATTTGCATAGAGGTCGAAGTGATACAGTGCATTATGAGTCGGATAGTGCATGGTGGAAAGCCATCTTCAGTGAGCGAGTCTTGAATGAACTCCCATCGGAGGTGATCGAAAGCTTTTTCAAGATCCACCTTAATTGCCATCCAAACTTGCTTTGTCTTGAGTTGGCGCATGGAATGGATTACCTCCTGATTTATAATGATGTTTTCGGTGATAGAGCGGCAAGCGATAAAGCTTGTTTGATTCGGCATGATCAGAATAGGCATCACTTGTTTTATGCGACGGGCAATAATTTTTATGATGAGTTTGTACATAACTGTGCATAAGCTGATGGGACGGAAGTTCGTGAAAGTTTCAGGTCCTTCTTTTTTTGGGATTAGAACAAGCACAGTTTTGTTTAGGTCGGCTTCAATGTCACCTCCTGTAAAAACGTTTTTCACCATGCTGCAGACAGAATGACCCACCACGTGCCACTGTTGTTGGAAAAATTCTGCATGGAGGCCATCATGTCCCGGTGCTTTTAGGGGAGCAATATCCTTAAGAGCTTCATAGATTTCCTTTTCATCGGGTTCAATGGACATGGAATCCTTTAAATGAGTCGAAATAGCCGGGAAGTAACCTGAAATGGGAAAAATTCCCTACCACGTCCTCATCGCATGCATAAACATTTCTGAAAAAATTAACCGCTTCTTCTTTAAGTTTATTCGTGTCAAAGCACCAATCATTTAGAGAAAGTTTAAGGGCCAAGATTCGGTTCTTTTGCTTTCGCTGCAAGGCACTTCTATGGAAGTATTTTGTAATTCAGTCACCTTGGGTAGTCCAATTTATTCTTGAGTGTTGTTTCCATAGAATTTCCTCTTGGTCTAGGAGTTGCTCTAACTCGGTGAGAAGTTCGATTTCAAGATTGATAAGGAAAGTCGAATGATGTCTATTGAGGCTTTTGTGTATTCCTCGAAGTCTTGCCATAACTATCTTCTTTTTTGTGCCAATATAACCAAACACCTTTTTATTCCATGTATCAGCTGCATAAGTAAAAAGGGTGATAGTGTCTGAAAGAGACTCAGAGTTTATCCAGTTATCCTTCACCATTCGGTTGAAATCATCATGTTGTAACCAGCCAGAGAAATATCTGAATTGAGTCGGGCGAAGGTTAGGTGTAGAGCTGCCAACACAAAGGAGAATTGGTCTGTGATTTTTATCATTTTGATATTTTATGATTTCGTCCCTTCTTAAAATTTTAGAAGTTCACTTCTTTAGTATAAAATCTTACGTTTGTTCTAATAACGTACTAAGGATTGTGTTGGGTAAAATGATGTCTTGAAATTCTAGTATAATAACTAGTACTAGTTTACACAATTCAAGCTATATATGGAGTAAAAATGTTAATATAGGCAAACCCCAGGTTCAAGTTAATTGATTTGTATTCAGCAAATCCATATTTAAATTTCATTTTTATCTTAAGTGAAAAATATATATGTATGATCATATTTAGAAGTATTCTTTTAGATTTGGATTAAAATTAAGTATATACTATCAGTAAATATAATTAATTATTTTTATTATTAATATCTTTTAATAACCAAACAATTGATCTTGAAATGCATTTCGTGTTTATGGATGATAATCGGACCTCGAACCGCGTGATTAAAGGTTTACAAGAGATTGTTAGAGTTTAGAGCATGAGAAATGCTAAGATATAAGCAGAAAAGAGGGCAAATTGAAGGGGAGTGATGTGGATACAAATATTATCAGGTCGAGTTGGGTTTTTGGTCTATTAAAATTCAATTTGAAATTTAAAATTTTTTATCCGTATTTGATTTAACTTTAAACTTGATATGATTATTTTAGATCAAACCCGACATTTGATTTAATCCGAACCGATTCACACACGCGCGCACGCGCATATATATATATATATATATATATATATAGGGTATAGAATAATGTTACACAATGTAAAACTAAAAGCGTTTTACATAGATTTAGAAATATTGGATGAGTAAAAATATATGTATGAGATTAACAGTAAGAAATGAGAAAATATTCACTAGAAAAAAAAACAAGAGTCAATCTCAACCATCTATTTTAACTCATCTAACGATCTTAAATCTGTGTAAAACTAAAGAGTTTTACATTGTGTAAGTAGATCCTAACCTTACTTATATAAGTATTATTACAGTTATAGCTAAATATATAAGAGATGATTATAATATTTTCTCTAATCTAGTTGGATAAAAAAATACACTAAGTTCAAGCCCAACCCAAATATAAAATTTCAAAATAAAATTGATCAGATCGAATCGAATCGAATCGAATCGAGCAAAAATCGAAACTACCAATTTCAGGAGACATTGAGCATCCTTATAGGAAAAAAAGAAAAGAAGAGAAGGCGACGAAGTTAATTTAGACTATTAGAGAGAGGCATATATGGTACAATTATGTAATTAAATAGAGGTATGATATTAAAACAGTGGTAGTTAGATAACGGTAAAATTTTTATTTAAAACTATTATTATATGATTGTAATATCCATAATAATAATAACACTCATGATTATTGTAATCGTAATAAACATGAAATATATTTCATAATCTCAAATTTTAATACTAAAATTGAATTTTTTTTATTAATCTGAGATAAATATAAGATAATATATGTTCAAAGATAACTTTTAATCATTTGATAATAAACACTCATACCTCTAATATTTATGATGTTCAAAAATTTTAAAAAATAATAATTATTATTTATTTTATTATTAAGATTGTTCGGTTCGTGCATATATTTTCTTTCTTTTGATGATCCTCAACCCCAACCCCAACCATCTTATCAATGATGGACCCAAATTGATCAGCACAATCACCTTTTTGACTCCCCCTATAAAAAGTTTTCAGATCCACACATGTTTTGATATTTATGATGTCTTATCAAATTATTACACACATTCAATAATCTTAATTTTCAATATTATATTTTCTGCATATGTTTCAATATTGTGAGTTCGAAAGTGAAACATGATGGGAGTAGTACTATACCTACGTATCCTGCAAAAGCAAGCAATGAAACTCCATGAAAACACCAAAGTTGAAAGATTGGGATGGAAGGGGCACCAAAATGTAGAAAGAAATTAAGAGAGAGAAAAAATACCAGTATGACAGCAGTAGGGAGGAGACCCATAACTTAGGCAGATGTAACAGGTGCATACCTGACGAGGTTGAAATATATTATAACAATATAGATAAATGCATGATTTTATTTTAAAAGAATGAATTTATAAAATTTTAAAAGATGACGAACTTATAAAATTATAAGAAATAAAAAATTAAATGTAAATAGAAAATTTAAAGAAAATATCTAAAATATATGATAATTTTAAATTAATTAAACTATACAAATGACCACTTAAGTATTGTCTCATTTTACTTTAGTTATTGATATTTCAATTTTATCAATCAAATCATCTAACTATTTAATTATGGTCAGTTAAGTAATATTTGATGGAGATGTTGACATGACAGTTAAAACATTGGCATAATTATATATATTTAGTCATCATTACTTACATATTTTACCAATTTAATTCAAAAAAATAATACTCCAATCAAGAGGCGATACATATCAACATAATATTGTAATACATTTCACTAGTGGCATGTGTCACCCACTGATTAGAGAGTTAATTTATCCAATTAAAATATTAAAATTAATTTAAAAAACTCTCCAACCAGCTGGTGAAACATGTCACTAGTGAAATGTATCACAATATTATGTTGATTCGTGTCACCTTTTGATTGGAAGAATAATTTTTTGAATTAAATTCAAATTAGGACTAAATTGATAGAATATATAAGTAATGAAGACTAAATATATAATTATGCTAATATTTTAACTGTCAAGTTAGCATCTCCGTCAAATATTAACAGCTAGTGGTTTAATTGACTATAATTAAAATATTAGGTGGTCTGATCGATAAAATTAAAAGAACAGTGGTTAAAATAAAATGAGACAATAATTAAGTGGTCATTGATTTAATTTACTCTTTTAAAATTTCAGAGAAACTACTGTCCCAACCAACCCTCGGTCCATTCCTGTATAGGGAGGTTGGTTTGGTTGTCTTCATGTCTTTGTTTTTGCGTACGTTTACCATTGGGAGGGATTTGGGATCTGGTTTTACTGCTACTGCAACAGCAACAATACTGCAAGATGAATTCAATGGCTGCAAAACACAACGGGGGAAGGAAAGCTGACTAATAATCTAAGAGAGGAGGGTTTATTGGGATCACTCTCCATGGAATGTGTTGGATTGGAATATTTGGCTCCGTGCTCTTCCATGTAGGGCGGCTCCACCGGTGAACATTTGGCTGACACAAGGATTCTGATGGTGGGATAAGTACAAGATATTCTCATCGTAATCCCTTGACTGCTGTTTTGTATAATGGGAAGTTCAAATGTAGGAAGTCATTGCATTCACACACTATTGGGACGATGGCTCAAATGGGTTGTGAGAATGAGGATAGAACGTTGGAACAGTTTGATGGAAATGAAAACTCATTTGACAAAATTATTTTATACGGAAGGTGCCTTCTGCAGAAAACGTATATATCATATATATACATAAAACAGACAATAAAGTGCTTTATGCATATGTGATAAAGACGTTTTCTGCAGAAAGTGTCTTATGTTGATTAGACAATATATGTATAAAACAAATTCTGTAAATACGTCTTTTATACAAAATACAACTCTGGTTTTAAAACTAACTTAGTTTTTTTAGGTATTCCAAAATGAAAAATTAATTACTAAAACTATTAACACTGAGTTTTGAAATTAGTTCGTGAAATATTTTATTTTTGAATTTAGTCCCTAAACCACTACCCATTAATGTATTGTTCAGAATGCTTTTATTTCTAAAATGAAAAATTAATTAGTCAAACTATTCATGTATTATTTTTACCGGTTAAATATATAAACTTATACATTTCACATATGAGACTATAAATAGGTGTGAAAGGCAACTATTTACTCTCACTTGAATGACAAAACATCTTTCAAAATTTGTGTTTTTCACCTCTAAACCTTCACTTGTTTCGTTACTTATGGCTACTTTTCAGTAATTATTTTTTGATGCCAAATCTTTTAGGATGTCATTAAAAAATAATTCAATTAGATGAGTTGATCACCAATATCTTAAAAATGTTCAACTATGAAGAAATAAAAGATTACCTTCATTGCATTTTAATTTCTTTATATCATGCACAAAGTTTTCTCTTAATATTGATGTTGACATTGTTGAGATGACTGACATATACAGTTCACGTTTTATATCTAATGTGGAATTATACGCAGAGTTCATTGAGGTTGATGTTGATGCTTCGAATTCGAATATTAAAATAACAAAGATAGATGATGGAGAAACATAGATAGATGATGAAGACCTAGAAACATTGTTTTATGAGATCTATAACAGACAATAAGAAAAAGCGCGAAGGTTTGAAGAACTCATCATTACTTTTGATGAGTCAATAAATATTATAAAAAATTTGTTGGAACCATTATAAAAATTAATATATATGTAGTAGAAAATTAATAAATTTTTAACTTAAATTTAGTGGTAAAACAAATGTTTACTTTGCTTAAGGTCCCACGTTCAACCTTAAGTTGTTCAAGTTTATTTATTTTATGGTTATCATCTAGTATAAATTAAATGTAGTTGTTGATGAAATTGTACTGAACAATTACTCTATCTCAACAATTGGATGCTTGACTCTCATCTAAGGTTTCTAAGGTTCAATTTCTCTTAGTAGCATCACTACATCAAAATGGGTTTTTAGCAGCACTTTTAACGGCGTTTTTTAAACAAACACCGGTAAATACTTGTTCTTTAGTGGCGTTTTTATATAAACGCCGCTAAATACTGTGCTTTAATGGCGTTTTTATATAAACGCCGCTAAATACTGTACTTTAGTGGTGTTTTTATATAAACGCCGCTAAATAATGTACTTTAGTGGCGTTCTAAGCACAAACGCCGCTAAATGCTCATACTTTAGTGGCATTTCTATATAAACGCCGCTAAATACTATTCTTTAGTG